TGCTAATATATTTCACAGATATATATATATATATATATATATATATATATATATATATGAAAAGTAAAAACAAGTGAGAAGTAATGTGAATTCTTTAAGTAGAAAAAACATATAACACACACACATACTGTATATACATGTATGTGTATATATATATATATATATATTCTCTCAGAAATTACTAGTAAATTTCTATTTTAAATAGAAAGAACATACAGTATGTTTTTGATCAAAACCATTAATCATTACAAAAGATTTCTATTTCAAACAGTACAACTGTTTACAATATTTATAATAACAAGATGTTTCTTGAGCACCAAATCAGCATACTAGAGTGATTTCTGAAGGATCATGTGACACTGAAGACTGGAGTAATGATGCTGAAAATTCAGCTTTGCGATCACAGGATTAAATTACATTTTTAAATATATTAAAATAGAAAACTTTTCATTTTAAACTTTTATTTTAAAATCTTAATAATGTTTCAAAGTATTACTGTTTTTACTGTATTGTTTAATTAAAATCTTTCCAAACCAACACTTTTAAAAGGTAGTGTATATATTAGTGACATGTTTAATTGACAACCCTAGATTTTTATTTTTTTATTTTTTTTGTGCAAATCTGCTGATCATGTGATTCAGGTGATGTTAACTCACCCAATCACAAAGAGGTCAGTGGCCGGCTGCGAGTCAAGCTGCAGTAATGACCTCACATCAGCTGGTGGCTCCGCTGTGCCAACATTCCATGTGACCATGTGCAGCCTGAACAAGAGAAGAAGACACAAACAGAGCAGCAATGAATCAATGAATGAATTGGGTTCATATAAACTCTGAATTTAATATCTGAGAAAAACTTTGGGGAAAGAATACGAAAAGATAATGTAAAGCTAAAAATACAACGGACTTGCTAGCAAATCACCAACAAAATCCACACCTTCTATTACTCCAACACAAGTCTATCTAAAACTAATTTTCAATGACTTAGTACACCTGAAGGACTCTCTGTTGGTGTATTTTCCACAGAGGTAAAAGGCTTCGTCTAGCGTACGGGACACTTCCTCATTTGCCTCATCATCTGAGCTGAGATCTTCTAAGCAGACGAGCAACTGAGCGAGCCGCTCGCGAAGAATCATCCGTGATGAAGTAGACTGAGATGCCATGGTGGACGTACTGTCAGAGCGCACACGTGGGACATCAAATGTGTCAGACATCTTTTTGCTGTTCTCCCAAAACAACTGATAATCTGAAGCCTGATTCATCCAAACCAAGAGATCAGCAGAAGTGAGTAGATTTCTTATTTGATTCTCTATCGTATTGCTTGTGTTTTCTCAGCTTCAGAGGTCCAAAAAAGTTCAAATGTCTATAGGTGTCCAATGGTTTAGGTTCAGCAGATGCAGATATCCCAGGTTTTGTTCAAGCGACGCCTACGTGCTGTAGTTCCAAGATTCATATTTCTCCGATCTTCTCAGAAACAATTCATCATTATCCTTTGAGCCCAGAAAGCTAGCAATTGCAATAAATATAACCCTTTTTGTTGATCCACATGTTCTCATTGCATCTTGTTGCCTGAATGGACGAGTGTGTGTAAAAGCATGCGTTTTGGAGAGTGTTTGGGATTATGAAGTGTAATCTGGAGCAGTGGAGAGCCACGTGAATGAGGCCAGGAATACAAAATGCAAAAATCACTAACAGGCCTGATCTCCAAATCACTGTATGTATTGTTGCAGGTCTTTAGCAACGCAAGTAAATGTCCACAGAAGCTAATCCGCTTTATGCAAGAGCTGGCCTCAACTCTGTGAATATTTCTTGGACTCTACAAAATAAATAAATAAATAAGGTAATAATTTTGCAACCGGTGGGGGGGTGGGGAGTGTTGTTGTCTAAGTTCAAAGATCTTAAATTAAAATGTGAGAGCATAATGCCAAACTTTGTTAACAAACTCTCATATTTAAGTTAACTCTGAGAGAGCTAATTTTTACTTCCTTGGAGTTAAATGTTACTCTATCAGAGTTGAATTAACCTTCTTGCCTAACAAATTCAACTACAATATGTGAGACTGCGTTCCAGATTACTTGATGAACACATTTATCCACTGCTTTTAAATTGTGGTTATCTTATAGTATTGATGTTTGTATTATTAAAAATGTGTACATATATTATAAATATCAATTAAATATTTATTATTATACATTAAATATTTATGAACATTTGATATAAAATTATTAAATTAAATTAAAAATAATAATAAAGTCTGTTCAGTGTTCAGGTGTCGACATAAATCTTTGCAAATTTGTGCTCAACTGTACACCTTACTTTTTTCCCCCTGTTTAAACCAGGAAAATTGTACTAGGCAAACAAATACTAATAAATTAGTCTAAAATAGCAATATAATTCTCAAATGCAGGCTAACTATCTTTCCACCCCGTTGCTCTAATACAGTCACATGCAAATTCTTAGGAGCAAAGAAGCATTCAGCAGCAGTGTTGCACAAGTAAAGCGAGTTACGTAATCAGATTACTTTTTTCAAGTAACTAGTAAAGTAACGCATTACTTTTTAATTTACAAGAGAATATCTGAGTTACTTTTTCAGAAATATAAATATATATATATATATATATATATATATATATATGAAAAGTAAAAACAAGTGAGAAGTAATGTGAATTCTTTAAGTAGAAAAAACATATAACACACACACATACTGTATATACATGTATGTGTATATATATATATATATATATTCTCTCAGAAATTACTAGTAAATTTCTATTTTAAATAGAAAGAACATACAGTATGTTTTTGATCAAAACCATTAATCATTACAAAAGATTTCTATTTCAAACAGTACAACTGTTTACAATATTTATAATAACAAGATGTTTCTTGAGCACCAAATCAGCATACTAGAGTGATTTCTGAAGGATCATGTGACACTGAAGACTGGAGTAATGATGCTGAAAATTCAGCTTTGCGATCACAGGATTAAATTACATTTTTAAATATATTAAAATAGAAAACTTTTCATTTTAAACTTTTATTTTAAAATCTTAATAATGTTTCAAAGTATTACTGTTTTTACTGTATTGTTTAATTAAAATCTTTCCAAACCAACACTTTTAAAAGGTAGTGTATATATTAGTGACATGTTTAATTGACAACCCTAGATTTTTATTTTTTTATTTTTTTTGTGCAAATCTGCTGATCATGTGATTCAGGTGATGTTAACTCACCCAATCACAAAGAGGTCAGTGGCCGGCTGCGAGTCAAGCTGCAGTAATGACCTCACATCAGCTGGTGGCTCCGCTGTGCCAACATTCCATGTGACCACGTGCAGCCTGAACAAGAGAAGAAGTCACAAACAGAGCAGGAATCAATTAATGAATGAACTGGGTTCATATAAACTACGATTTGAATATCTGAGAAAAACATGGGAGAAAGTATCAAATTAAAGATAAAATGCAAAGAACTTGCTGGCAAGGCACCAACAAAATCCACGTCTTCTATTACATCAACACAAGTCTATTTAAAACTCATTTTCAATGACTCAGTAAACCTGAAGGACTCTCTGTTGGTCTATTTTCCACAGAGTTAAAAGGCTTCGTCTAGCGTACAGGACACTTCCTCATTTGCCTCATCATCTGAGCTAAGATCCTCCAAGCAGACAAGCAACTGAGCGAGCCTCTGGTGGAGAATCACCAGCGATGAAGTAGACGCCGTGGTGGACGTACTGTCAGAGCGCACACGTGGAACATCAAATGTGTCCGACATCTTTTTGCTGTTCTCCCAAAACAACTGATAATCTGAAGCCTGATTTATCCAATCCAAGACATCAGCTGAAGTGAGTAGATTTATTATTTGATTCTCTATTGTATTGGCTCCAGATGTCTAGGTGTCCAAGAGCTGGTTTAGGTTCAGCAGATGCAGATATTCCAGGTTTTGCTCATGCTGCACATGCTGTAGTTCCAAGACTCATATTTCTAAGATCTTGATTCTAAGTTTATCATTCTCCTTTGACACCAGGAAGCTTTCAGAAATCAAGTAGTTAGTCATTGCAATAAATGTAACCCTTTGTTGATCTATATGTTGTCATTGCATCTTGTTGACTGAATGGATGTGTGTGAGTAAAAGCATGCGTTAAGGAGAGTGTTTGGGATTATGAAGTGTAATCTGGAGCAGTACAGAGCCACGTGAATGAGGCCAGGAATACAAAATGCAAACATTACTAACAGGCCTGATCTCCAAATCACTGCATGTATTGTTGCAGGTCTTGAGCGACGCAAGTAAATGTCGACCGATGCTAATCTGCTTTATGCAAGTATATTTCTTGGACTCTACAATCAATCAATCAAATAAGGTAAATCATTTTTCTAAAGATGTGAGAGCATAATGCCAAACTTTGAAAACAAACTTGTATTAAGTTAACTCTGAGAGAGTTCAATTTTACTACCTTGGAGTCAAATGTAACTATATCGGAGTTGATAATTTCTTATCATACTTATTTGCCAATTTGTGCTGCTTTTTTCTTTTAAACCAGAATATTTTTTACTAATTAAACAAATACTAATAAATTAGTCTAAAATAACAATAATTCTGAAATGCAGGCTAATTGTCTTTCCACCCTGTTGCTAAATAATACAGTCACATGCAGATTCTTAGGAAGCATTCAGCAGTAGAGAGAAAGAAAAAGAGCAGGCACATAAAGACAAGCAGCTGATCTTGTGACAAATTGTAAAACTTTTGAGAGAAACACCAGCATTCACAATTTGGTTCGGTGCAAGAAGAAAGTCACTAATGCTGGACAATAAACCAAACTGAACACATGGAACTCAATGAAGGAAAGTTCTCGGAGTCCCATTTCTTTCACCTCACTCTTGTCATCCTTGTTATTTTGAAGTGAAGAGGGGTTCATTTCATTGATTAAGGATGATGTTACCTGAAAGCCTGATGTCCATCCCTGGATCCAACATTTTGTGCGCTCATTCTCAGACCTGTGCACACAAAAAAATCATGTAAACAAGCATGCATGGTAATTCAAACATTAATCTAATCTAAAAGAGTTAATCCGGTCTCATTTTGAGCTGAAAAGCTTTTAAAAATGATGAAATAAAAATCTGGAGGTTGACTGATTATTATAATATGGATCAGTGATGTAATGTTCACTGAAAACGCTCTGTTGCTATGGATACGGGCGAAAGTTGACTATGACTAGCTATAACTTTTATGTTGTTTGATAGTAAAAAGACTGTTGTTTTGACTTAAAGACAAGTTCGAGACGGGGGTAATAAATGTATAACGTTAAACGTTTTTCCAAAAAGCATAACAGTCTAATCTAACGTTAATTTCTCTCGTTTTATGTAACGTGTGCTGTTTGTCATACAGCGTTCAAATATGAAAAAGTGGGCTACATTCAAACAGCCATCGAATAAAGTTCAAATATTTCGAGATTTTCAGGTTAAAACATTACGAAAACTAAGCTCCTCTAAAGCTGCCGTAACGAAAGCAAAATTGTATTTATGCTACTGCATAATTAAAGACTCATCTAATCAAACTCCTTACTAAATCTGAAGAATAAAACGACGCAAATAATCTCAGTCATCCTCGCGCAAAGAAAAACAATCTTACCTTTCAGCCTCGGTCTTGTGGAAACTCTGCAGGTGTCTTGAATATCTATTCCGTACTTAACAGGTATAGGACAGTGTGAGAGTTTGGGGTTTGTGCTTACACCCCTTTACTTCCTCACTGTCCGGCCAATCCTCAGAAACCCCTTAAAGCCGCAGTACTTTCATCACAAACGCCTGAAAGCTTTAGCTAAGTTATGAAAGACTTGACTGTGTCTAAACGATTTGTTATATGTCGCAATCCTTTTTGATTAGGGCATGAAACAGAGAGTTCTCTGTTCATTAAAAACTTGATTTGTAGCTTAATTTAAAATCCATTAACTTGTTTTTGGTCACTATATCATAATGGCAATAATGTGGTTTATGCAGATGCAGTGATTTTAGTAAGAGACACATAAGGTATTTTTGTCAGTGTAAAGAATAATCGTGAATATAAACATTTATTTGTCATAAACATGCCAACCTATCAACGCTGAGGACCTCTAGGACCAGAGATTAAGTGTAAATTTCACCTTCCAAAAATACCATGGTCCATTGCTTTCTTTAATCATCTCAGAGCTGAACGAGCTTTTATAATTGCTACTGAGTATAATTAATACATACATGTAATAAACAAATAAACATGTCACATACAACTGCAACTGTGAAAATGAAATCCAAATGTCTGAATCAAACACATTCCCCTTTCTGAAGGCCTCATAAGAAGGGGTTAGTTTAATCTGGCTTCATCTCTTCAAATCCTGATTAGGCTGAAAGTTTCATTCAATGAAGGGAGGGTTTGCAGTGATCCTTTTTCTTGATGATTTGTGCTTGTTTATGTGTGTTTGTCCTGTGTGGGATTGAATGGGTTAGCTTAAAGTAAGGACATGTTTACTGTGGAAATTAGATGAAGAAATGGGTTTTATTTGCATTGAGAAAACAATAAATGGAGAAAAGAGGTGAGGTCTGAAAATGTCGCAAGCCAGACTCAAACATATGTCACTGTCCATATGCACCATAGCTCAACGTGTCAATGCGCTGCCTTCTAGGAGAACAACTCTGATGTTAAAGGGATAGTTCACCCAAAAAATGATAATTCTATCATTAATTACTCACACTCATGTCGTTCTAAACCCGCAAGATCTTCGTTCATCTTCAGAACACAAATTCAGATATTTTTGATGAAATCCCAGAGCTTTCTGGCCCTGCATAGACAGCAACACAATTACCAAAGTCCAGGCCCAGAAAGGTAGTAAGGACATTGTTAAAATAGTCCATCATTGGTTCAGCCTTCATTTTATGAAGCTATGAAATTACGTTTTGTGCGTGAAGTAAACTAAAATAATGACTTTATTCTACATTTTATTCTCTTTCGTGCCAGTCTTCAGTGTGTGTTGATGACAGTAAAGTTTTTTTGTTTGTTTTTTGTTTCAGAACATTAAGGTTGATGTCACATGGACTATTTTAACAATGTCCTTACTACCTTTCTGGGGCTTGAACGTGTCGGTTGCGTTGCTGTCTATGCAGGGTTTCATCAAAAACAGATTTCATCAAAAATATCTTAATTTGTGTTCCGAAGATGGACGAAGGTCTTGTGGGTTTGAAACGACATGAGGGTGAGTAACTATCCCTTTAAGCATACAACTGAAAAATGTGTTTGATCAAAGAAAATGGAGTACAAATTTACTGAAAAACAATATTGAATAAGTATTTTTAGAACTCAAAGGCGTGTAAACCAGTAAAACACTACTTTTTAAAAGTTTATTTATTTTTTCACATCTCCAATGTAGTTTTATTGGAAGATAAGATGACAAAAGGCACAAATTCACAGTAAAATAAATGTTTAAAAAAACATGACATGACAGGGTGGGGTGAAACAAATTCAAAAAACATTTTTTTTTTTTTTTGTATTTCTAGAATCATTGGGTTTTAATTTCGACAACAAATCGTGAAATCTAACAACAACAAATCTATGAGAAAAAGTCCTGTTTACCATGATCTGCCTCACATAATGGTAACACAAACTGTGGATGATCAGTTCATATGGATAGTTCCCTTTTATAAGCCACCTGTCTGTCATTCAAACACCAGCTTGGACAAGTTTCAATCGAGAGAAGAATGGCAACCTAGTCCAAAACCTCCTGAAAGGGTCTTTTTCTCAAGTTCAAAGGCCATGGCTTCGTTCACAGTGTAAGCTTTGAAAGGAATTTGAAAGTGAGAGATTTCTATGGCTCACAGCAAAAATACAACAACAATCGATGAATGAAAACATATTTAGACACCATCCTGCCAAAGAGGAGCGGCCAGGGATGAGGGGCGGGGCCAGTGACAGTGATGGGCGGAGTTATCTGCAGGGTCCCTTATAGATTGTTCAAATCAATAGCTCAAATCTAGTTTTAATTTCCTAAACCACCATTAATCACCACCTTCCAGTAACTTTTCCCACAGATAACACCCAGCCATTACTAAACCACTAGATATAATTACTCTGGTTGGGTTGATGGAAGGCTTTATGTGCTGATAGCCTGGCAGGATAGTCTGAGCTATATTTATATAGTCATATATATATATATATATATATGTATATGTGTTCATCTACATATATTTATATACTATATACAATTCAATACATACATCCATACATCACTTTGATTAGACTCAGGACCAACACAGTTTTGGTGTATCGATGGTTGTATTATGACGGTAAAGATGTTTTAACACGTGCAGTCTACACCATAAAACTTTCATTCATCTCTTAAGAATTCAATGGAATTTCTACGAATTTCAAAGAATTCGATGTAATTCTACAAGAATAATTTAACTCTTGTCAGAATGAATTTAGGTGTGCATTAATGGGTCCTGAGCATTGGCGGAAAGAAACACAAGGGTGTAAACCTCCATTTTAGTTACATGTCGGATGTCCCTCACGTGAAAACAAGAAACACTGAGAACTTCAAACGCACATACATCCATACACACATCACGTTACTAAGAAAAGACTGATTTAAAAACCCATACTCAACCCATTTCACCTTCCTTACCCGATTCCATATCAATAAAACTAGGAGCGATTGGAAGTGAGAGTATATTTGTATTAAAGTCCTAATGACGCAACATTCTGAGAGGGAATGGATTATACACTTCTAAAGTCACTATCTCACATCATGTATGTTGATTGGAAGGGTTTGTCAAAGGAGGTATTATTGCTAATATCTGGATAAATGTGTCTTTATCCTCAAGACATGTTATAAAAGGGTAAGTACGATAATTGATCCTTCAATAAAATGGAAAGGAGGTGAGACGAAAATGAATTATACTTTTATAAAATATGCACATAACGTAAAATATCCTCCTTGAGCACCTCATCTGGTGACAAGATAGTCAGGAAAAAAACCTTTTCTATATTAGTAATAAACCTTTTATGAAAGATGTCAAGACTAAAAGGTTTAGTGTCGCCTCTTCAAGTTCTTTCAAAGACAGTCAGTCAGTCACTGACTAAAGAAAAGGGCGGAGCCTGATCTTGTAAGCCAATCAAAAACAACCAAGGGAGGGCGCGCTACAGCTACTGTATACCTGTCTTTTTTATATAAATAAATAAAATAGCTTGACTAAAATAGCACATACAAGGAAACTGGAAGAAATGACTATGAAACCATTAATATTGATTGATTAACAAACAACAATACTTTTGACTTCAGCTTATTTCAAGAATGTGATACTGTTCGATCAGCTGATTATAATAAACTGTGTTTTGCATTTAAATATGAACTGTACTTGTAGTCCATAATGCATGTTACAAATAAATTAATGGTCAGGATGACACGACTGTGATTGTACAGTACTACACTATAAAGAGACACACTTACACCTTGGATCAGCTGGTAAATAGGTTAAAAAATGGGTAAAATGAAATTAAAACATAAAGCAACAAAAACAAATCACTACAGATTAAAACAAACCAAGGAAAACCGGCTTGGTCCACAAAAAAAAAAAATTAGGAGAACAATTACTTAAAAACCCTGTTTATACATCTGTCACAATAATTCCACTGCCAATAGATATTCTGAATATATATACACACAAATATCATCTGCTTTACATTAAACTCATCTTAAAACACAATTCTGCCGAGCTCCATTTATTAAGGTAATGATCTGACATCATAAATGACGAACTGCTGATCGTCCCTGTATTTGTTTAAGTAGGTAGACTTCATAAACTGGGCATGACGTTAGAACCGGTATAATAGCATATTTAACTAGTCAATGTGCTCCACTGTCAGACTGAAAGGAGGATATGAATGATGCTCAGGACAAACTGCACCAAAAGGGCTGGATGAAGGACTTTGATTACGATTAAAAAGACTTGTTGCTTTGATTTGATTGAGGGGAGGGATGCTGCTGGTCTCCAGTAGTTCAGGTCTGATCTGAGAAAGACTCACAGGAAATGACAGAGAGAGAGAACAAGAATATTCAATTACTTTAAAGGTTAAACTCCACAGTGATGATCAGAATAGATTACTAACATGCTACTGATTGCATACTGTCCAGTACATACTGCCATTCAGTGGTTTTGGGTCAGTAAGATTTTTATATATATCAAATCATAAAATCAATCATTTTTGACCCATACAGTGTATTTTTGGCTATTGCTACAAATATACCCAAGCGACTTAAGACTGGTTTTGTGGTCCAGGGTCACATATTAGAATGATATCTGAAGGATCATGTGACACTTACATTTATTACATTTTAAAATACATTAAAATAGAAAACCGTTATTTAAAATGATAATAACATTCCATATTGCGGTTTTGACTATTATTGATCAAATAAATGCAAACTTGGTAAGCACAAGAGACTTCTTTCAAAAATACAAAAAATAATAATCATTTGTCGCATGACCTTATGTTGCATGAACAGTTGTGGTTATCAGCAGTTATCAGCTTAAAAATGCTGAAATTACATTTGAAATTACATTACATTTGAAATTACAAATGAAATTACATTTCTTTTTAAAATCATTTTTGAAAGTTCAAGATTAGTATTCTATGCATACTGTACTCCCAACATAGTTAATGTGAATATGCTATCCCAAACATAGCCCATATATTGCGTCCATATACTAGGAAATATTAAAAAGTTCTCACTTGCTGTTTTAGATGAATTACGTTAGGGGGCGCTAAAGATTGTCAATTACCTTTATGAACAGCAGCATCCAGGAACACGTAGCAGCTTCAGTCTTCAAGAGCCACCATGCCTTTCACTGGATCCTTCACTCTCATCTGAAAGACAGCAAGAGAAAAACATGCATGTGTACATAAAGTGAATAGCTCCTTGTGGAAGAACAACAGGCTACAAATGTGATTCAAGAAGGACTTATCCTGATTTTTCCTATCCTCTGGGATTACAGATCACTTGTGGGAGTCAAGGAGGAGACACTGATTTCTGGGATAGTCCTGCAAAGTATGTGAAACTGGGGATGCCGCCAATACATGACGTCACTCATTCCCCGAAGGGCACCTGAGAGCGCTGAACAGTGACCTGCTCCACTCTGCTGCCCCTTTTGTTCGCAGTGACTGGACCTCATTATGGACTACATTCAATTATTCATCTGCCTTGATACACGTAATTGTCTTTGTGTGGTGGGAACTTTTGTGGCAGGCCGAAGGCGACACTCAAAACACCAGACAAACACAAACAAAAACTCAATCTCGCAACAAATGAATTCAGCTGTTTGTAAATTCTACAAGAAAATATCTCAGAGCAATTAGTTTGTTTGGCTAACTGACTAAAATTGATCATTACCATATAAAGGCTGGTTCAAACTGAACAATAGAGATGAGGAATAATTTAAAGTGGACAAAGACAGGGTAAATGTAAATTTGCTGGAGGGCATCTCATCTGACCTCATCCAGTTCCCTCCTGGTCTCTTCCTCCATTCTGCGGATGTCGTCCATGTTCAGCTCGATCCATTTATCAATCCAACAGAACAGCTGCCGGTGGAAATTAGTGAACAAGCGCTTCTCTTGCTGTTAAAGGGAGAAGGAGGTACAAAATTCATTTTGTAAGGTGAATTTTAAACTGATTTTTTTTACATAAAATTGAGGATGGAACTTAATTTTATAAGGGATTGGACGACATACAGTTTATATCAGTTAATGGTAACTAACTTTCTGATGGCATTTGTATATGTGTAGAAAATAATAAAGTAAAACAAAAAAATAGAATTTAGTCAGACTTCAAACCATTTAAAATTTGGGGGTTAAGATTTCATGTCTCAAGGCTGCATTTATTTGATCAAAATACAGTAAAAACAGTAATATTCTGAAATATTAACATTTAAAATAACTGTTTCAATATGTTTAAATGTATAATTTATTCCTGTGATGGCAAAGCCGAATTTTCCGCAGTAATCGCTCCATTTTTCAGTGTCACATGATCCTTCAGAATATCTGAAGGAAGATCCTTCTGATTTGGTGCTTAAGAAACATTTTTGTATTATTCTCAATGTTGAAAACAGCTGTGCTGCTTAATAATTATGTGGAAACAGTGTTACAATTTTTTTTAGGATTCTTTGATAAATATGACGTTCACAAGAAGATCATTCATTTAAAATATAAATCTTTTTTCCATATCACAACAAAATTATAAATGTCTTTACTGTCACTTTTGATCAATTGAATGTGAATAAATATATTAATTTATTTACAAAAAAAAATGAATTTGGTAAACAACAGATTTTGTCCTCTCAGTAAACCTTTATATTGCGCAGATGAATCATAGACAATCAGTCCAGGAACATGCACTAAATATGGTCAAAAATTTGATTTGATGGTAACTTTAATAAACAGTTTAATCAATCACACTGACCTTTTGAATAAAGTTTTCCACTTTGTTTTGCAGGCCCCACCACTTGAACTTGACAGTAACCAGTTTGTAGGCACACATGTGTGGGCAGTCTGTCCTTTTAGGTAGCTCTTTCTACACACACCCAAAATCCATTAAGCATTTGGATATAATTTGCCATTAATAAGCTTCCCACTCATACATCAAGCATGCACTTACTACATTTACACAAATTTTATACAAGCACACAGCCATTAGAGGTGCTGTAAAATGTATCACCTTCCAATCCGGACCGAGCGGCCCTCTTCCAGTCTTCACAGATTTAAACTTAGTGGGGTCTTCATCTGGTTTATAGTCCTACACAGAGACAGCACTGATCGGATTAGAAAGTAACTGGAAAAGGCAGCTATTTTATCTAAGTAAAGCTCACCTTTGGCTCCACCTGACTGCGGTCTGCGATGTCTAGGTACACCACCTCCACCTTCTTCCAGGTGTCTGGGTCTAGCCCATGAACCTGTAAAGAAGAACAGAACTATCATACTTGAGAGCATAATTGTCAGGTTTGGCACAAAATTGTGGAGTTCACACACATATAATCTACTACTAGACCTATACTCACATTGTCCTGCTGTCCCATGTCGGGTTTGTGCCACGTCTCGATCTTGATGAGGAAGTTTTCTTTCATATACTCATTCTAAAAACACAGATAATCAATGAACAAACTGATAAACCATAACTGAAGGACAGACTCCGCAGTGACATACTGACATCTGTCCTCTCTCCTTTCACTCCAGCTAAAGTTACTGTCTCCTCTTTCAGTCAAACAGTGAGTGTTTGTATGAGTTTGTGCTGTACATCTACATGTTCAACATGTTTGTTCATTCATATTTGTGTACTTGCAAAGATTGTATACTTACAGTAATTACTGAAGGGTGATGCAGGACAGACAATGGGGGGAAAAGGAAAATAATATATGAATTAGATCATTTATGTTTAAGAATATATCAAATCTCATTTAAGACCATTTCTAATTTTATTTAATCTCATTTTAGCCCATATGTGACCCTGGACCACAAAACCAGTCTTAAGTCGCTGGGGTATATTTGTAGCAATAGCTAAAAAAAAACATTGTATGGGTCAAAATTATCTATTTTTCTTTTATGCCAAAAATCAGTAGGATATTAAGTAAATATCATGTTCCATGAAGTTATTTTGTAAATTTCCTACCGTAAATATATCAAAACTTAATTTTTGATTAGTAATATGCATTGCTAAGAACTTCAACTTTAAAGGCGATTTTCTCAGTATTTTGATTTTTTTGCAGCATCAGATTCCAGATTTTCAAATAGTTGTATCTCGGCCAAATATTGTCCTATCCTAACAAACCATACATCAATGGAAAGCTGGTTTTGTGATCCAGGGTCACATATTAGTCTGGAAGTAAACATACTGAAATAATATCCATATACAAACTCAACATTAGTTCTAATCAGACCGTGAATCATTACTCATAAATTCTCATAATACAACGATAAGCTTTGTAGGTTTCATAGTCACAATGGTGAGAAACAATAAATAAGCTCAGTAATTCTGTTCACTTCATGCAACTTAACTTGACATTAAATACTTAAAGATGTTGTTTTACTCTAATGCTATTTTTGAGGAAAATGTCAGTGATTCTATGTTTGGGATTCAATATTTGAAAGCAGATCTACTTAAAATCAGCATGAAATGAAATAAGAATTCACCCTATTTCTCAAATGCATGTTATTCATCTTATTGTGAACGAGTCTATGCATGCTTTATTATTGTTATCATTTAAATTTGACATTGTAATTTTTGATCAAAATGTCATAACTCAATCAAAACCGGTCTCTCCACAATCAACCCCACAAACACCACAAAATCAGCAACCGATGGATTATTTTATTTTTCAATAATTTGTTACACTCATATGTACACCACAATACAGAAGAAAATATCTATAAATACTTCCATTTTATTGCAACTTTTAAAATCTATTATTTATTAATTTTACAAGGTACAGTAAAATTAGGTTGCTAACTTTTGTATTTTGCAATGAATACAAAAAAAATCCATATTGACTCCTGAAACAGATGTTTGGACCTTTTCCTGTGAAGGAACTGAATACCTATAACACACTACAATGTAACTGTATCTAGACACCCTGACTTGGACAAATAGTGGAACACACATTTCTTTCTTCTAGCAGCTTGCTGATGGTTGGCCAATAATCTCAGACAAATCATTTTGTTATTCAATATTAATATTATTAAATCATTCAAAAATTCAGTTTAGCTCAATACTTGCCATATCAACTTTTTACATGTATTCAAAAACAAAACTGTAGACTTGTTTTAAGCACTGCAGTGAGATTTAGAAATATCTTGATAGCAGACTTTAGCGAATGGGGAGTCTGTCATCTATGCGGCTGTGAGAATGAAGTGAAGGGAATGTGTCAATATAATCTCAGTTTCCTGTGCTGTAACTCCACTCCTGCTCAGCTCAAACAGTGAATTATTCAGTGCCCGCAAATGCAGTGACAGAAAAGAGACGGGGAGAAACAGATAAGAAGACATAATAATATGAAAGCAAGAGGAAGAAAGAGCACATGAGAAACTTAATAGCTGTTAAGTGAGTGTGTGTGTGTGTGTATGTGTGTGTGTGTGTGTGTGTGTTTGTTACCTGTGCGGCAGTATGGGTAGGCATTCCAAGCTTTCTCATGAATGTTCAGTGCTGATGCTGGTGCAAGCATTCGTACAAATGACGGGACTTTACTGAAAAAGCAAAAATGCAAATGAGAAGTAGACTAAAATAAACAGAAATGTGTTGTTTTTTTCTTAAAATACTTTCTCCAAAACTTTGTTTGAGCAATTGAACTAGTTCAGCATAGCAACAGTGGCTCTGGTGTGAGTTTGGGGCAGGGCTATCTGTTTGTCTGACCAATAACAGACAAGGGAGGTATTTTGGAAATCTGTTTGAAAATATTCATTGTTTTTACATTTCTTTTGATTTAAATCCCACACTATCACCTTAAAGGGTTAGTTCACCCAAAAATGAAAATTACCCCATGATCTACTCGCCCTTAAGCCATCCTAGGTGTAGGCTATATGACCTCACACGGCTCAGGGAGAGGGGGAATAAAGGCCTCCTGTAGCGAATCGATGCGTTTTTGTAAGAAACATGTCCATATTTAAAACGGTATAAACCGTAATCTCTAACTTCCTCTAACTTTTGGTCAAAACTTGCACTAACGCCGACGTCCTATGTCATCCGCTGGAACGGCATTCTATTGTGAATGTGCGAATTGTATGAAAAAAAAAAACCTGGACATTCTGCTGAACTTCTTTACATGTGGAAGATAAAATGTACTGGTTTGGAACGACTTCAGGATGTGTAAATGATGAACCTATTTTTAGTGCACTATTGTTTTTAAATTTTAACATTAATCTAGCACATTTTAATTAATACACTCATGTGTCTGTGGGTTTGTGTAAGTGTGAGTACCTCTGCAGGTGGTAGATTTTGTGTGTGTACTGTCCCTTCTCTCCATCCTTCTCGTAGGGTTCGTTCTTCAGGACCTCAACGCCCTCTCCTCCACCCGTCTCATTCTTACTGGCCTCCGCTACTGAGTACAGCTGCCCGACCTGATACTGTGAGACACACAGAAATACATTTCACAATCTCAAACTTCATAAGCGTGTTTGATCACTATTGTCTATTAATCCTGGGTTCTCGTGTCACTCTCTTTCTCTCTCTCTCTCTCTCTCTCTCCCTCCCTCTGTGTGTGTGTGTGTCTGTGTTTCCCTCCTCTTCTGCTGATCTATGCTTAATAAACAATGGCTTCTTTCATATCTTAATCACATATGTGACCCTGGACCACAAAACCAGTCTTAAGTTGCTGGGGTATATTTGTAGCAATAGCCAAAAATACATTGTATGGGTCAAAATCATTGATTTTTCTTTTATGCCAAAAATCATTAGGATATTAAGTAAATATCATGTTCCATGAAGATATTTTGTAAATTTCCTACTGTAAATATATTAAAACGTAATTTTTGATTAGTAATATGCATTGCTAAGAATTCATTTGGACAAATTTAAAGGCAATTTGCTCAATATTTCGATTTTATTTGCACCCTCAGATTCCAGATTTTCAAATAGTTGTATCTCGGCCAAATATTGTCCGATCCTAACAAACCATACATCAATGGAAAGCTAATTTATTCGAAACAATTTACGCTTATGACTGGTTTTATGTTCCAGGGTCACATATAATCCTGTAGAGAATATAGTTAGAATATAAACACACACATCATACACAGTAAATACTGCAAAAAGACTCTGCAAATGCATAAGCACTGACACATGCACAATTACATTTTAGTGCATCACATTCATAATAGGGGAATGTGAGATGCGGTCTGCATTAAATGTTGCAATTTAAAAAAAAAAAAAGGAAAGGAAAGAGTAGTCTTACTAAGGGAACAGTTTAGTCTGATTCCTGAACAAATTACTCGTATGAAATTGTTCTTTTTATTGAATCCATACAGTGTGGTACAGTGCAGTCCTGATCTAATGAACACTTTGAGCTGGTTTTTAATGAATAGTTCAAAGATTTCAGTTAGCGGTTTGAATCCATCAAATCCTACACTGAACTGTTGGAAAATGAATCAACATCTAACTCACTTTCTGACCGGCAAATTATCAATTTTAGGGATGCCTGTATTGAAATGAAACACGTTTTGTGTTGCTATTGTATCATTAGCCTAATGACTGATTTTCCATATCACAACATGTTAAAGTTCCATTATTAGTTATAATCTACTAATAATGACAATCAATTTCAATTTAAAAGGAGGATCTGCAAACTAAGGATGCAAACGTGGACATTTTGACTTTGCGAAAGCAATTTAGATTTTCTTATAACCCTACAATAATCAAGCATATTAATTATAAAAATAAAAAATATATTTAAAAAAACATTCACAATATACATATTTGAATGGGCATGACAATATAAAAAGAGAAAACCTGCAGATATTGTTGAGTCTTATGTTGTACCAAAAAGGGTGTTTTCTCAGCGATGCAATAGAAGAATCATTTTTTAGAAGAACGTAGTTCTTCATGGAAGTTGGAACCATCAATGCCAGTAAAGAACCTTTTTTTAAGCGTGCAGATCGAGTGTGTTAGACTAAGAGATTTAGTGTCCTGACACACGTTCACTGTCAGCAGCCTCTACTCAGAGTCTAAGCTGAGCCAGCAGCAAAAACTCAAGCTAAAACACCTCCAGAATCTTACCTAGAAACAGCCCTAAACACACCATCCATCACGCATAAGCATTTATGTGTGTGTGTGTGTGTGTGTGTGTGTGTGTGTCTGTGTGTGAGAAAGAGATAGAGAGAACAGAGGAAAGAAAATGACGACACAAAGCAGACTGCCTATTTATACCAGTTGGCACCAGAGAATGACAGATAGAGGAGAAAAGGGGAGAAAAAGAAAGAGAGTGAGGAGAGTGCAGTGACACACTCCATTGCATAGATAGATACATATATACATACAGATATAGATGGATACATATATACATAGATATATAGATGATGGATGGATGGATATCATGCCTCCTGTGTAGTGTGTGGGACTATGTGTGTGGTTCTGTATCTACATGCAGTGTCATCATTCCTCTGCCAATCAGAGATTTCCTCTGTCCTCTCAGCCAATCAGAGGCCAGTAGCAGAATGCGTCACTTTGCAGCACTCTATGAAAATCCAACCTATATCACACATTTTCATCCCACTCTCTCTGCAGTCCACACACACACACAGCATCAGACAGGGTTTCGTCTGCAGTGGGTGTGCTATTTTTTGTATCAGTGTGCCATATATCCATTTTTAAAGTGACACTGCATAAAACTGTAATCTTTTTGAATGAGCAGCATGTGATGTGTAGTATGGTTAAGCCCTGATTATAGTTCACTGATGGTGATGGACAGGCTAAAAGATGTGAGCTCAGACTAATCGACAGGCTAACAGAGCATGTCTCAAGCGCAGAGCCAGTCTACAATGACAGACAGCTTGTGGTGTTTGTGCGTGTGTGTGTGTGTGTGTGTGTGTGTGTGTGTGTGTGTGTGTGTATGATTATAAACAGGAAGAGGAAGAAGGGTAGAAATAAGGGAGTGTCATAAAGGGGGCATCAACTGCCCAGCTGCCTTTAAGCAAGCAAGCTTTCTTAATCCATCATTCCCTGCTGAATGAATGGACTCCAGGAATAGCATTTTGCCCTCTTGATTTAAACAACATCCGCCACATAAAATGTGTCTTTAAGGCTCCTGAAAGCAGATGAAGGATCAGGGCTTTAATTCATGTGAGCTTATCTGACAAGAGCTGCTCTCTGCTTTCAGTGCTCAAAAGAAAGTCGATTGTCATTATTTATTCGTATCTGCAAGCATTAAGACGAATGACCAGTGGTGATTCTGGGAACTGTATGAAAATGGGAGGCACAGAGGGCCAACATTTTCAATGAGGGGAATTAACATCATATCATAATTCCATGTTTTTAAAATATGGATTCCAGATTTCATCCTTGTTTTTTCTCCTCAAGTAATCTAAGAAACATTAGTCAACAATATGTTGACTAAATGTTAAATAAAATATTTGTAATTTAAATGCCTTCATAGGGGTATACAAATAAAATAAGATAATTGACTGTCTTTATGTGTGAGTTTGAATCATTCAGTCAAAAGATTGATTCAAAACTTTAATTCATTCAGCAATGAAAAAAGTGAGTGAGTCATTGAATCATTCAATTAACAGATTCATTTTAAAATTCATTCAGGAACGAAACACACTACTACATGTTGCTCTGAGATGCGCAATGCTTCTGCTTTGACTTTGTTTGGGACTGTTACACTGGCGTATAAGTAACTGACAATATTGTGCCTACACAGCCAAAAAAGCCAGTGTTCAATTAACTCAATTTGAGTCAAATTTAACACTCCTGAAATTTATATATGGCTCCCTCTTTTTTAGAGTTAAAATACAATTTTTGAAAGTGTGAAATATGTACTTTAGTCACAGAGTACATTTTAACACTGTAAGAGTTTATTTGTAAATCCAGCAGATGTGTCACACAAAATGTTTTCACATTCAGTGTTTTCAATACATGTAAAGAACATGTTCTTACAACAATGAAATCATCATAATGTCAAAGCAAATCAGCGCAAAGGCACAAAATACATATTCTTATTTGGTCCCTATGTAGTGTCATGAAACCCCCCCTGTTTCAGCACTGGTCTTTCACACCTTAGATCTGAAGAAGACTCCAGAAATGGGCATGTAAAGCTGTGGAAAAGTGGGAGTGTAGAGGGTGGGAAGAGGGGAGAAATCAACCAATAAAACACAAACCTACAACACACTCAAGATACAGACAAATGAATATTAAAATATATTTAAAACAGAAAGAATAAAGGCAGTTACTTTTTGTTTATTCTTTGAATTTTCGGTCTAAAAGTTACTCAATCCACTTTATTTTAATGTAAGAGAAGTTGCAGACCTTTTCAACTACAATGTGCAAGGCTTCTTGTGTCAGACGATTCCAGCTGTTTTTGGTGTACAATAATATAGTTAAGAAATGTTTATTATCATATTATTTTATTTTCATAATCATAAAGGTTTACTGCACTGTTAATCTAATTAACGGCTAAGTCTTGAATGAAATCTAAAGCATTGAAAGGAAATAGCTTACTTCCACATTGAAATGAAAGTATTGGCTTCTTTGTATTGAATCAATATGATTACAGTCTTGTTGAAATGACGACACTCTTGCTCACGTGATATTGCTTAACTATAGGCTTATAAGTATACTTCATAGTTTATACAGCATTTAAAAATGCTGCAGTGAAACTATACTTTTGAAGATCTACATATTCAAAGTATCAAAGTAAACCTCTATGAATTATTGATCAACCTTTATAAATGAAGTGGCTTTCCTTAAATGTCCATTTTCCAGGAATGGGCACTGAAGCAGCCAATCATATTTTATCTGCGATCTCTTTATGCTAATGACAGTGTTTCAACAATAAGGATCATTACTCTGAAAATACACTAATCAATGAAAATGATGAAGAAAGAGTGAAACTAGGTATGTTCACCCACCCGTGGTTCATTCAACTCAATTTAAATCTAATCTACTCAACATTCATTTAATTGTGCAGTCTTAATGAATGCAATGCAATGCAAAATCTCCTTTTTAACCTTTTAAACTCCCACTGGGTGCTAGGAGGAGACTCTGACCTGACAGGAAGGACTTGCATTAAAATGTCTCGTCCCAGACATATTTTATGTGACAGAACTGATTAGACTATTATCCAAATGGATCTTGGCTGGCAGTACTTTTTTGGAGAATATGCTGAGGTATGTAAAAATTAGTGCAGATGAAAAGAGGGGCCTCACAAGGTGGAAGCAGCCTTTTAATTTGCATAATCCGGCCCAGATAAGGGTTTGTCCCTCGGGGCAGATCCCACATGCTCATGTCGGTCCAAAGTTACTAGGAAATTACTAGGATATGATTTATAGAAACATGAACAGCTGGAGTCAGGTAGTCTAAAGGCAGCTGAGGTGATTTATGTGATCAGATGGTTAATCATGTAACTGGATCTTAAAAGGAATAGTTTATTAATAGCTGGAATAGTTTAAATTTGCTGAAAATTCACCCACAGACCATTACTTGCTCACCAGTGGATGGTGAATGAGTGCCAACAGAGCTGATGAAAACATCACAATAATCCAAAAGTAATCCACATGACTCCAGTCCATTATTAATGTCTTGTGAAGTAAAAAGCTGCATATTTGTAAGAAACAAATCCATCGAAGCATTTGAACTTTAAACGGATGCTTCTGTCCATAATTCATAGTAATGCTTCCTCCAGTGAAAAAGTCTATCACCTCTTGTCCTCTCAGATCAAAATTCACAGACATATTTGTTTAGAACTGTTTTGGACTGTTTTCTTCACTTGTAAACAGTGCTTGATCTTTGCATATTTCTCACCTGATTCAGATTAATCAACTTTTTCACTGGAGAAAGCAACATTATGAACACTTTCTGGAAAAATGAAACTTCGTACACAAGATTACTCTCCTCTTGCTGATCACATCCAATAGCTTACATTAAGACACCATTCATTACAGTAGTGGCCATTTGAAAAGTACAGTATTCCGTTGTTGTTGTTTTTTTCACTACTCCTCCTTCAAAATTTGCCCACTTTTTACGAAAATTGGCTCAGATGATCTTCAGACTGAGCTGCACAGAAATGAATGAACAGAATTTTGATATTCATCTTTGTTCAAAAGTTATGGTGTTACGAACTTAACAGTGTTGACCTAAAATTGGTTCAGAGGCTGTATCTCGGCCAAACTTTGATCAATTGAAATGAAACTTATTACACTTTATCAACACCATGATCTGAGGGTCCATGCCAAAGTTGGGAACAGCACCACTTATGGGTCATTAAATATCAAAAATTTACATTTTTGCTTATAACTTTTGAATGATTGTGGATTCCTTGGGTCATGCCGAATCCAAGGATAACAAATTTTGCCAGAATGAGATTAACTGCTTGTCAGCTATTTTGAAATTTGTCATAAATTGCAATATCTTTTGAACAATTTTACGTTTCGGCACAAAAATTGGTAGGGATCATCGATATCATGTCCTGAAGGTACCTGAGAAGTTTGAAGACAACGCCACCTAGTCTTCCAGAGATAAATTTTTTTTTTATAACTTTTAAAAGCATTGTCCTAATTTTGTTTTCTCTGTGTTAATACATTCCTTGGCTTATGCCGAGTCTGATGATATCTCAGTTTTCAACATTTTGTTTGTCTGACATTTTTGAAGTAAATGAAAAACATTTTTTTCACTACCCCTCCTATAAATTTTGTCCAATTCTGTTCAAAATCTGATCAGATAATCTTTGGACCGAGCCACATAGACATGACTGAACAGATTTGTGATATTCCCTATCGTTCCTGAGAAATACCTCTCCAAGGTTGACTGTGCTTTAGGGCTGCACGATTAATCGAATGCGATTATCATGCGCATTTAGTTAAAAAAGCCGGTTCTGTAATCAGCAGGAAATCATCATCACGTGCTTTCAGATGGAGCAGAATTTACTACACATAGCCGTAGTTCACTGACAAGTTAGGAAAAAAAATCGCAGACGATTTTATTGCGCGATTATGAAATCGAAGAAATCGTTCACGATAATGACAGCTGTTTGCATAGCTTCTCAGTGAACTACGGCTCTGTGTAGTAAATGCTGCTCCGTCTGAAAGCATGTGAAAATACCACATTTAATAACATATTTTTACTCCAAACTCACTTCATAACGTCAGTCGAGTGTTTGAAATAAATCCTTCTGTGAGATGATGTGGCTTCTTACACAGAACACGGCATGCAACATATTTCATAGTATTTAAACAGTGATAAAGGCATTGCATTATAAATATACTTTATTTTAATGAAAATTATAATAATAAGAACTCCGATAAACCGTATATTGCCGTAGTCATGTGTTTATTAGTCACGTTGAATCAATGAAAGCAGTTGAATCTTCTGTTTATTCAGCTGCAGCGATAGCCATTTTCTGGCAAGGCGTATTTGGAGTTTCAGCGCGAGAGCGCCCTCTGGCCTTTGGATGGAGATTTACTGCTGATCACAGAACCGTGCTTCACTGAAAGATACGCATGACAATCGCAGCTTCTGTCGAATCGCGATCTTGATTCCATTTCGATTTATCATGCAGCCCTACTGTGCTTATTAGTTAGTTAGCTTAGAGTGGTAATTTGTTAAAGTGCTAATCAGTTGCCATTCTATATAATGTGACTCTTCAGCTATCAGATTAACCGAAAATATGTTAGTATAATAACGTATTTTAGCATGCTAATCTGGTCAACATGCTAAGTATTGCTTTTATGATTGCAGCCTGATGATTGTGCACTGAGTGACACACTCTGCTGAGCCACAGGCCCCGAACCTTCCAGGTTGTGGGTTTGAATCCAGTGTAGCACATAACATGTGGCACACTTATATACAAAATCATGAGAGTGTTTTGTGCTTTTGAGATGCATATTTTGGAGCCTTTGACTGTTCGATGTGATGTACTTTGATGAGTTTGCTGTGATTATTATTCTGGCTGTACATGCTGTGCTTGGCCCCGAATTGCTGCTTGCAGCTATATTCATGAATTTGTTTCTTGCAAACACGCAGCTTTTCACTTCACAAGATGACATTTGGTTGACTGGAGTGGTGTGGATTATTGTGATGTTTTTATCAGCTGTTTGGACTCTCATTCTGGCAGCACTCATGCACTGCAGAGGATCCATTAGCGAGCAAGTAATGCTACATTTCTCCAAATCTCTGGCAAATCTGTTTAATTTTGGGGTGAACTATTCCTTTAAAGCTGCAGTATGTAATATTTGCAAAACTTGACAAAACAACAAATTCCAACCGTCAGTCATCGTTCAGGCAAAAAGCACACTTGGTGAATAAAGCATATTCTGATTCGGATTTGTGGTTAGAAATTACACACTACACCATTGATGCTCAGAATAAACTGATAATCTTGGCAGTTGTCACTTCCCCATTTTGCCACCTCAAAAGCATAAATGTGAAAGTCTAAATTTTGTTTCATTACAGATCAGCAAGTGCTTGAGCTTAGACGACTAGAAAAGCTGAGAGAAAGAGAAGCAGAAGGAGGTGGTGGTATCAGGTAACTCGTTAGATATTCACGACCAGATCACTGAATAGAATGACACGCTAGAGGATCATGGGAAATGAGGAGACTGGGAGACACAGAGAATGCTCAGTCTGAATGGGGCCAGAGGAAAGAATGAGAGACAGAGAGGAAGCAAAGATGTGAGAACTGCTGACAAGGCCAAAAGCACAGCTATTAATATTGGCACATAGTGAGACAAATGATGCATTACTGTTTCCGCACGGGCTGTATGGGATCAAACAGCATGAGAGGAAAAAGATTCATCCTCTTGCTGAGATAACTGAGTCATAAGTGACTGAATGACAGAGTGGTGTGCAGATCTATGGCTTGGTGTACATGGAGAGCATCACGAAATTACATCGTGACTCCTCTGCTGTCAAAACCAGCTAAGACTGAGTCATCCGAAGTCAACACATGCAAATCAGCGATTGACGCCGCACACACACATACCAAAACAATGTTTGGATTCAGTGTCATTACCAGCGTTCACAAGCACACACACACACACTCAATTTACACTTACCTCCTCCACAGAAATCGGTAGGATCACTCGACTGCAAGAGAACAAGAAAAACAAATTATTTAAAATCTACCAATAATAAGCATGTTTGCTGTATCATTATTGCTATTACCATCATGTTTCTAAAACTCCACAAATGAATAGGATTTTTCTTCAGCCACTATTTTGACAATTTCATAAAATATAACCACAACATACAAATGCAAGGAATTGCCGAGGAAAGTTTATTTTTTTTAATGGCTGCATTTATTTAATAAAATACAGTAAAAACAGTGATATTGCGAAATAGCATTAAAAATGTAAAATATCTAAATATATGTTTTCTGTTTTAATATATTTTCAATTGTAATTTATTATTGTTTATTACTGTTAATTAATTATTAATTTAATATTTTTGTGAAAACCATGTTCTTTCCCAAGGATTCTTAGATGAACAGAAAAATTAAAAGACCAGCATTTATTTGAAATAGAAATTTTGTAATATTATATTTTTTATGGTTATGTTTGATCAACTTAACGTGCCCTTGCTGAATAAAAGTATAAATTTTTTTTACAAAACCTTAATGACCCTAACCTTTTGAACAGTATGCACATATTTTACATTTACATTTACATTTACATTTAGTTTTGAAGGTCAGCTGGTTATCAAAAGTTACACCAAGATTTCTGAATTCTGACAAGATTTTATTTTAATATAAAATATGTACTGTATATAAAAAAAAAAATTATATATATATATATATATATATATATATATACTATATTTTTAAAGCAGCATAAGTAACCTAAAATATAAACTAAATATAACTTCAATATAAAGTTATCGTTGCACTTTTTCATTAGATTTTTGAAAATGTATTTAATCACCAAGATTAGAAGAATTTCTCAGTGCACAGTGGACAGCAGTGTTTGGGAAACTGCCTCTAATGTTACATACCCTCTGTTTCAAAGCAACTTTGTTGATGTATTTCCACAGTCATTTTCAGCTCATCTCATATTCCTAATAAACCATAACTTGCAGCACTTACAAAAATGATAGAGAAACTATAACGCAATCTCTGCATCAAGACCAGCTTGGCTTTGTCTCTTCAACGCCTTATATTTAGTGGCTTGAAGTATCAGAATACAAAATGAATCTGTTCATATTAGCAAACATATAAAAGCTATTCCTTGTCAAGCACATCTATGATATATGTGTACTGTTTCTAGATGGTAGTTGGCAGTGTACCAAACTCTGTGCAGCTTGCATATATAATCAATACTTCTCAGGAATAAGACAACACCACTACTGAGCTCCATTCCAGCACAGCTCTCTCATTATCTGCCTTATGACATGAACACACACACACACACCTCAGGACTGTCTACATCTGACTTATGAGGGCTTCTCTGACATGAAGCATGAGCTTGTCAGGAAGTCAAGGACCAGGTTCACCTTTAATGTCTGACAAGATCATTGACAAAGAAGTCCATACTTTAATGAGAGTAAGTGGTTAGGATAGTTCTGATATTTTTACTAGAAAACAAGTAAAAAATACTGATTATGAACATGATTTTGCACTATATAGTCCTTTTGCGCATGAGGGAATTTCTGTCCTAGCCATATATCAGATGCTTTATAAACTCAGTGGGAAGTTTCACCATTTATCAACAAACGCCATGGTCGCACAAGTGTGTTTTACTGTTTGCTGTTAGCATCTGCTAATAGCAGGAGTCACCTTGCCCTCCTGAGTGCTGCCTGTGTCCTGAACAGGGACTATCGGTCACCATGCTGGATTTGGTGTCTCATGTACTCTGCCTCCATGACACCCAGGCTACTTTCTGCATTATAAATGCCTTTGCCCGCATGGCTGCATTTCGCTGTATACTTATTGTTTTCGGTAACGAGACAATCAAGTTTACAAATAGATTGTGAAATTCAATATTCAGCTGAAAGCTCAGCGTCGCTATTTTACTAAAAACTGCATCCGTCTAGAGATTAAGTCATCATAATGTGACATTTTACATATGATGTTTAATGTTTCTGTGATTTTCTTTTTTTTATATGAAGGTTGCATTTTTTAAAAACTTTTCTACTGTTTTATTTGTAGATGTTACGTTACCCTTGTCCTAAAGCCAGACTTTTAATTCTGCAATTAAATAATCATAAACCATTTCAATATTTCTTGTGAAAAATATTTTTACACAAATTACAATTGTCCTACAATTGTGTCATAATTTCTACCACAGCCAACTATTTTTTATCCACTGGTAAAGTTTTTTTTTTTTTTTACAAGTTAGTGTATTGTTTACCAGCGACAACAGTGTCAGTAAAAATGTAATATGAGACATGATGTGTGAAGAAATCTAAGAAAAATTCAGGTAAATATAAAGATAATTTTATAAATGAAACTTTCAATCACACTATAATTTTGATGAATAACACCAAAAGTGTACAAATATTATTTAATTGTGTGTATTTAGGATACATAAAATGTAGCTATCAAATTAGTTGGCCATTTTATTATATTTTTATTATATTTTTCATTTTCAGGAAGAAAAAAAAAGAAAAATTACAGAATAGTTATTGTTAGTGAGACAAATGAAATAAACTAGCTAGCTAGAGATTATTTTCTTAAATTGCACAGGCCGGAAGTGCATTTAAGATACACCCGTATAGATTGTAAAATTAAAATGACATTGAGGCAAGTGTGACTAAAATGGTCTTTATGGCAATTAAGATATGCAAGAGACCCATCAGACATTGTGTCTGGATCCTGGATGTGAACTAGATCACAGGAAAGTGTCACCAGAGCAGTGAGAAAGAGACACACAGAACAAGAGGTCACTGCTTTAGCTCACAAAAAAAGTAGACCACTGATGTCTAATAAAAGCACAAAAATGTAGAAAGTTTAATGCACAATGTCCATGGATTTTTTTTATTATAAATATCAAGTTTTAAGTTTTCAATCACTACCATTTTTAAACACCCTTTTACCCTCACTAATTTAAATCATATGTAATAATTAAATAAACATCACACCTGGAGTTTAATCTTAATTAAATAGCCTGCCCTACAACTTATCAAAACTGAAACTTAAACCACATTTCAATTCCCATTAAAGGTCTAATTCTTTACCCACGGGTATTTTTAGTGTTGAAAGTTATTTTTAATGCTTTAGTGAAAGCACAAAGTACCATGGACAGCAAACCCTGAGGGACCTGAGGTGTACAAGCATCCACTTTAGAGCCAAGACACCCTGATCCTCTTAAAAACGTGCCATTTGTTTATTGCAGGCTAGTTTCTAAAATATGAAGAAAGCATGTTTTTATTGAAAGTCATAAACTACACATGCTGCATAACGGACACCTCGTTCTCTGCGGAACCCTCTGTGCTCCTTCAACTCTCCATGACGTGGCTGAACGTGACGTCAGAGAGATACGTATCACGCACGCTAGCGGCGCGTCCTTATTACACGCTTCGCGTTGAAGAGATTCAGCTCGTGGCTGAGTCACTCAGAAGACGTGTGCGGGCGACGGCGGAATATAAGAGAAAGAGGTCTTGTTGAAGGACAAATGAGGAAAACATGATGGTTTGCCTGTTAGCTGTGTCCCAGCCTAACCAGACGAAAGTCATATGTTTCACTGTATTCGAGTGGTTTTACACCTTATTCGCTAGTGTTTGTTGAAAACGTTCTTGCCGTAGTTTCACGATAGGGGCGCCAAACAACGATTTGTGTTGCTAACGGATCAGGCTCCTTGCAAATTACTAACAGAAATGATTTTAAAAGTAATTTAAAAAATGGTACACTACCAAACCCCCATCTAAATCAAATAAACATATCAGGCTGGTATTTTTTCCACCAAGGACGTCAGAAAATATTCTGAATTAGGCGATATATTATCTGCACTGTTTGGAGATGAATAGAAAGCCTCATATGGTTTTATTGACCTTTCTGACGGTGCCTTGTGTGTTTGTGGGCAAATAAAGGTTATTAATATTTCAAAGGTGACTGGCGGGGGGAGGTTTGGAGTATATTATCAAGTTATAGGCTAGTTAGTCGCGCGGTTCAGTGAAACGTGCGCACGGTGAACGGATCCAGTTGTTCTGAAAAGCGCGGACGGTTTAATGAAAATGTGAATATAGCAATCAAATGGCCACATGGTAATGAATGAACGGGATGTTTCTGAAAGTATTAGTATAAATACACAGGCGCCATTTAATATCGGAACGCGGTGTGCTCAATTCGGTCCGTTTCACCTTCACGAGCGTATCAATAACACAATGTAGAGACAATTAAACTCGGTTGATGAGATATCTGTGCCAGAACATCCACTCAAAGGCGTTTATTTGACTGAAAAATATTTATATTCAGAGGTAACGTTATAATTGCACCACAAGGCACGTTTTTAAACACACACGAAGTGTACTTTAGGCCAAGGTAAATTGATAAATATGCACCAAAGCCGTTTGTATATTAAACACCTGAAAAATATTTACGATCAAGGGCTTTAAATGTGAACTGTCAGAAAGTCAAGTTTGCAATGTCGCCATGGCCTCTGGTACCTGCGCTGCATTGGACAGACAGAGGATGCTCCCATCACAATCAGATCAATAAATAACGCTGCACTTACAATTCTTTAATCAGCATTTTCCCCGGTGCTTTATGCCTTCCAAAGATAACGTGCTTTTGCACCTGGATGAAGCCAAATAGGTGTCGAGTCCTGCGTTAGTCCCGGTGTCTCGGTCTACCCCACCTCACCCGCTTCTATGTCATTCTAGGGACCGTTTTTCTATTTCCCACAGATTCACTTCCTGCTCAGGGCCGAGGGGGGCGTTAACGACAAGCCCTGATGCTGTGACATAGGAGTGGTGACGGCATGGATGATGTTGCTCGTGGTCAGACTTAATGCTTTATTTAAAAAAATAATAATAATTAAATAAAACCGCGGACGAGCGTCGATGGATGGTCTGAGGTGGTCGCTTGTGTGATGTAACAGCTGGTGGTCGCATAGCTCTCTGTATATCAGTCAAATTACAATCTGTCACAAATTATGTAACGATAAACTGGTGCAGACTATTTATAGCACATCTGGAGACAGATCCCACCATCTGATTATTTTCATGTAGTTACAGTATGATCTGCCCTCCATCAAAGCGTTTCTCAAAGCACATTAAATACAGTGTCTCCCATTCACACGGTTTGTTTAAATATTTCACAACCAGATGTATTTGTGCAGTAGACTAGAAATCTAATTATGTATAGAACATTTTTCATATGATTTCTAACTAATAATTAAGAGTCCGCTTACAATTATGTTTAATGTTTTCATTTATAAAGACTCATTAATACAATGTGAGAAAAATAAGTGTGATATTACAACGAAAATATTCACATTAAATAAATATTTAAAATTTAATTAAATGAAATAATTAACTTGTTATTGCTTGTACTAAACTCAAAATAAAATATTATCTATTTTTTCCCCCAAAACTATGCAGATTTGTTTACTGTAAGGCCTGTTAATCACAATTATTCTTATGATTTCTGTTATTAGAAAGCAGAACCAAACTGTTGTTTTGTTTTGATTTGTTATACGGTGTTAGATAAATAGTGTGATATTACAAATGAAGTATTCAGATTAAATAATATTTTAAGTAATTAAAATAACTAGCCTAAATAATTTTCATGTAATTAATTGCTCATTGTAGCAAAGTGAAAACAAGTTTTCATTTGTTACTGTTAAAAACTAGGCCTGTCTATGAAATAATTACAATCTCACGATTTCCATTATTAGAAAAGAAACTTAAATCTTAAAAATTAAAGAAATTGTTTTGGTTTTGTATTTTTCTGGTAATATCAGATGACTAACAATTTCATAAGGAAAAAACAGCTGAATGTTTTTCTTAATTGATTATGCTTTTGAAAAAGATATTTAATCCTACAATGAATGTAATAGAAACTATTATAATGTTTTCACAGTAAAAACAATACATGACAAAAATGAGCAATAATTACAAATTTTATTGAATATGTAGTCCTCAACAGTAATACCATATAGAACAATACATGAAGGTTTTTAAAAAAACAAACAAACAGCCACTGAAACACTGAGATGTAAGTTCAAATAAAAACCTTTGCAAATAAGGCTGCATTGTCCATATGGTCCATTAGATTTTATAGAAATAAATACATTACACACAACACCAAAACATTTCCACAGTATCCGTGGCTCCAGTCCTCCCATCAGCTATCATCAGCATCGCTAACTTCACTGTAAACCGCACAAAAGGCACATTTGTGAGTTAAGTTGTGCTTTCTGTATAATATTTTACTTCAGAGGTCCATTATAACTTGATCTTAAGATCAGTGACACAAATGACTCTTAATACACTCTGAAATATCACAGAATGTTAGTGAAAGAAAGACAGAAAAAGGGAATTATGGGTCATGAGGAGGGGTTATGGGACATGTGTTAAAAGTGCTGTTGTTGCCCTGACATCTGCGCCTCAGCTTTCAGCCAACATCTCGCAGATCATAAGCATCTCAGCCTCTTTTATGTATGCATCTCATGCGCATGCAGTGTAAAAACATATATACAAACTGAAATGCACAAATTGTGGCTTTCATAAAGGACATATGATCAAAAGAGATCACAGATCTTTTTCATAAATACAACATTATTTCATAGAAAAATGTAAAAAGCCCTTTGTGGATCATTATAAACGAAAAATGTGGTCTTTAGTGAATACAACTGCATTGCACCACAACTATTACAGTGCAAACTGAGGCTGTAATGGTTTATCCCTTGTGAAGTTTAGTTGAATGAATAGGACTGTTTTGGGTGTTCCTGGGCAAGACAGCCAACTGGCATCATCACACCGTCTGTGCAGGCCAGGCTGGCTCACGTCCAGTTGGCATAAACGGTGTATATAATGCTGTATACTGAAATGCCCCTGGTTTTATGGAGAAACTGTCAGGGTTGAAACTTTATCACATGTGCAAATGCGTAATATAAAATATCTGAGTAAATGAAAATAAAATGGCGAAGAAGAGGGTTGCTTTCTGTCTCTCTCATTCCTCTTTACGTCCATTGAGTTACTCAGTAAACCTCTAAGAAAGAGGCACAAAAGTATTTAATCGTCTCTGTTTTTGTGTTTTTGTGTAGCTGTGATGATTCTCTCATGCCTTTGTTTTTCCCTTTATCTGCTTTCTTTATACAAATGCCTCTGGTACGTCAGTGCCATTGATTTTGAGATAGATTTTAGCATCGTTTTCTTTCTCCTTCCTCTTTTTGTGCAGGGTTTTCCTGAAGAACAGCAGGTAGAGTGGTAACAGGAAGCCCAGCATGCTGACAACCAGCAGACCGACATTCACCTACAAAAAAACAAAAAAAACATAAAGAGGAGGTCAAAACATGCCTGACGGACATTTAATCCATTTAGTATTACTAAAGCTCTCTGTTGTGTGTGTCATACCCAGAGTGGGTCTCCCTTCAGTGGTCCCATCATGGCCATGAACAAAGGCTGCTGCAGCAGAGCGAACACAGCGCTAACCAATGACTGCATTCCTGTCAGACTGCCGAACTGAGATGATGGGTACCTGCAGACGCGCAAACAGATTATTTGTTATCATATTATATGACTTAAATGCAGCTATTACTGGAAAAAGTGATGATCACAAGCGGAATTTAATCATGTTTTACAGATAATATTGATAAACTCACACGGCGGCGTAAAGTCCACTAATGGCGGAGTGGATGAAGCCTCTGACGATGGTGTGAAGGACAAACGAGAGCATCTGGAGAGAGATGACATAAGGTTAAATGACAAAATCATACATTATAAACTTGTCTGCTCTGTTGTTTCTTATGGTAAAATTAGCAGGTGACGTGCTAGTTTCATAATTAGGCCACTAGGGGGAGATGCTGAACAACTAAGCAGACACTCAAGGCACCAATAACAAGTGATTGTTGCTTCTTTTTTCTGTGTTCACATACTAGCCTTACGATTTCTGCTATATGGTATACTTGCATACTACTCCATATGGAAGAAATATTAAGAATAGTATGCTATTCCAAATTTAGCAATAGCCTTCTTCTGCACATAAACAAAATAGCATGCTAACATACTACTTTTAATATTGCTACAATATGTACTAGGAATACTGTGTACACTATGCAAATACATGCACAGAATATCCATGAATATTACATTTGCAAGAAAAATTGTGTACAACTGTGTAATTTATCATAGTATTTATTAATGTTTTAAATTAACTATTTTAAGTTTGTATTTTAATTCTAGTAATTTTAATGTTTAAGTATTATTATTATTATTATTTCATTATTTTAGTACTTCAACTTAAGCTTATTTCAATTAGTTGCCAGGCAACATTTCTAATTTTCATTTTAAGTCTTTGTTTTTTTTCATCCAAAATTAGTTTACTTGATTTCAGTTATTGAAAACTAATTTTAATAGCTTTAGTTTTAGTCATGTTTAACAATAACAACACTTGTACAAAACAGCATACTGAAAATTTGTTTAAAAATAACTGTTGTTTCAACTGAATTAAAAATACTAAATATTATACACTGCATACTGCATACTCTTTAAAAAAAAAAACACTATGCACTGTGCAACATTGAATGTGTCAACCTGTAATATTCATCATATTGCAGGATTAATTCCATACGCAACACACACCTGAAGAGGGAGGTTAGGAATTAGGCAGGTGATGCCGAAGCCGACAAGGAGGATGTTGGTGAAGATGAAGGCCCGTGTGGCATTGGTGACTTTCTGAATTTGTCTGTCTCTGCGTTTGGGCTGGGGCTCGTCCCTGGAGACAAAGAGCAAATACAAACACATTTAAAACAGATTATTTTTTTTAGTATTTTGAGCTTCAAAAATTATTTAGGTCACGTTCACATCCATAGATCACCTAAAAGTGTTTCATAACCTACTTGTTGGGCTCTTTTTCATCGTTTTCTCCATCATCGCATTCTTTTAGCTTCCAGTCCATAATCTGACCAATGACCGGCGTTGTCATCAAGCACAAGAGTTGCATCATGCCAAAAATGGAGGTGTAGAGGCTCACTGAGAGAGAGCAAGAGAGAGAGATTATAACACTGTCTAATAGATAACGTCTGAGGTTAGTTAATAACTACTCTGGTTAATGGCCGAGTTTATGGCACTCTACAGACTTGTGTATGCGTTACGGCCCAGAGCACAGGTGGGCAGGGAATGGGTTACGCTTGACGTGAATACAGGAGAAGGTTAAATGCTAGAATAACAAGCTTTAGGAAAGACACGCTCTACTGGTTTCTACTGTGCTACTGAGATTCTTACCCAATTCCATTCTCTCAACTGCAAAAATAGTAAAAAAAAATATATATATATTTAGTAGACAGTTATATACTGATCTTTTTCCTTCTTTTAGTTTTTTTGCTGTATTTACATATCTGAATTATCGTATTTAAAATGTTTTTTTGTTGTTGTTGTTGCTCTGAAAATATACTGTGATGCAGAATTGCTGTATTTTTTCTGATATACATAAAAAAAAAATTCAGACATATTTAAACATGCTTATTCACCAGTGTTGAGATCTCCTCCACCGAGGGACTCCAAGATGTTGTTCATGGCTCCCATGTAGAAGATGAGACGCAGTTGAGTTACACACATGGTCACCAGACTCAACATAAAGAGAGGGCTTAAAATGCTCTTCATGAATGACTGAGCTACAAGGAAGTAAAGGAAAACAGAGTTAGTCTAAATTAGTTATTGACCTTTCAGATTAACATATATTTGGCATTT